CTGTGAGAGATTGTGTGTCTGTGTCTGTATCATTCCTTATGCTATTATGTTATGTCATGCACTGTGAGAGGTTGTGTGTCTGTGTCTGTATCATTCCTTATGTTATTATGTAGTGACGCACACTGTGAGAGGTTGTGTGTCTGTGTCTGTATCATTCCTTATGCTATTATGTTATGTCATGCACTGTGAGAGGTTGTGTGTCTGTGTCTGTATCATTCCTTATGCTATTGTGTTATGTCATGCACTGTGAGAGGTTGTGTGTCTGTGTCTGTATCATTCCTTATGCTATTATGTTATGTCATGCACTGTGAGAGGTTGTGTGTCTGTGTCTGTATCATTCCTTATGCTATTGTGTTATGTCATGCACTGTGAGAGGTTGTGTGTCTGTGTCTGTATCATTCCTTATGTTATTATGATTATGTCTCACGCACTGTGAGAGTGTGTGTCTGGTCTGTATCATTCCTTATCGCTGATTATGTTATGTCATGCACTGTGAGAGGTTGTTGTGTCTGTGTTGTATCATTCTTAATGCTATTATGTAATGTCATCGGCACTGTGAGAGGTTGTGTGTCTGTGTCCTGTATCATTTCTTATGCTTATTCATGTTATGTCATGGGCACTGTGAGAGGTTGTGTGTCTGTGTCCTGTATCATTCTTATGTATTAATGTTGTTCATGGCACTGTGAGAGGTTGTGTGTCTGTGTCTGTATCATTCCTTATGCTATATGTTTATGTCATGGCACTGTGAGAGGTTGTGGCGTCCTGTGTCTGTATCATTCGTTATGCTATTGTGTTATGTCATGCACTGTGTGAGAGGTCGTGCTCGGGCGTGACTCGTGTCTGTGTCTGTATTTGCAGTGACCACAGCCGCGATCAGTCTGAGCTTGGCCGAGGGGCTGGGACCGATGCGTGACCTTTCACAGGTCAACCTTGAGGACCTGAAGGTCGCAGAGCTGAAGCTGGAGTTGAAGAAACGCAATCTACCTGTGTCAGGTAAGAAACCACCCCACCTTCTGTTGCCGTAAACCACGCCCCCACTGCCACTACGGCGAGCCACCCCTTCCCCCCCCCCCGTCCTCGCCAACCTCTGCTCAGAGCCACGCCTTCTCTGCCACTACCCTCTGCTGCTGGTAGCTCGCCCTGCCTCAGGTGAGAAATACCTCGTCCAACTCATAGTTGGTGCATTGATGGTGTTTGTGTGAGTGTGCGTGCATGTGTGTGTACGTGCGCGCGTGCATGAGTGTGTGCGAGTGTGTGTACGTGCATGCATATGTGCGTGTGTGTGTATGTGCATGCATATGTGCATGTGTGTGTACGTGTGTGCGTGCATACGTGTGTGCAGGCCTGTGCGTGTGTGCGTGCGTGCGTGCGTGCATGCATGAGTGTGTGTGTGAGTGCGTGCGAGCGAGCGTGCGTGTGTGCGTGCGTGTGTGTGTGCGTGCGTACGTGCGTGCATGTGTGTGCGTGCGAGCGTGCGTGTGTGCGTGAATGTGTGCATCCATGTATGTGCATGTAAGAGAGTTTGGAAGGAATGCAGGGGAAAATGTGGAGTGCGCTGCTGACCTCGCTCTGCTCTGTCATCGGTTACAGGCCCGAAGCCACATCTGATAGAGCGACTGAAGCCCTACGCTGACGTGACGACCGCACCTGTCGGAAAGTCGTTACCGACGTCTCAAGGCTTCTCCCTGCAGCAGATGCAGGGCATCACGTTCAAGCTGCACCAGGTGCGTCCGTCCTCGCAGTCACACACGGCTCTTACTCGCGCCCGCGTATCACGACCGGCCACGTGTCACGAGTTAGTGGCCAAGGTTAATGCGGGAATCGATGTAGGACGAATAACGAGTATTAACTAAGTGCAGCATTCACAGACATGCGGGAAAGTCATGCATTTTCTTGCTGTTGTACAGATGCCCAACAATACCCTGCCGGTATCAACAATGCAGCAGGTTGCCACGGCAACCAATAACAGCCAGTTTTCAGTGGCCAATGAGGACAGCAATAGTTTGATGGTGATAGCAACGCCACCTACATCACCAAGCAATGATCTGCTCTACTCCGTAAGCTTCTACCTTTCACTGCTAGCCAGAGAGCTGTGCTCACATTCACATTTCATCTGTATATCATCGAATTTATTCTCTAATTAAATTAATCTTTCTGGAGTCGCTGACAGGTAGTCCTAGCCAATCAGCGCTGTGATAGTGACATTCTAAAACATGGTGTTTAGTAACAAAGTACTGCAAAGTCGAGGATTTTGCGTGTATGCATGACAGACATAAACTTGTGTAGCTGGCCGATCTAGCAACAGTATCCAAAGAGGGAGTTAGTACCTACTTGGATGAATAGGTTAAGGTTAATAAGAGCATTGAATATCACAGACATTAGGGATTTTAACATCTGCCTCTTGATGAATACTTTGCTTCATGTTTTTCGCCGGGGTGTTGCAGTCGGGCGGACCCATGTCAACGAATCCTAATTCGCCGGACAATAGCATGATTGATAGCCAGCCAGCGAGTAACAAGAGCAGCTGTGGCGCCCTCAGCCCATCTGCGCCCAGCTTGCAGAGTCCACAGGATTCTAGCCCACCACAGGCAAGTAATGGTAGTAGTAGATGGCTGTAGAGTGAGGGGGTGGGTGGGGTGCATTGAATGGATGGATGGATGGATCCATGCATGCATGCAGGGAGGGATGGACGGACAGACAGAAGGAGGGACGAACAGACGGAAGAAGGGACGGACGGACGGACGGATGGATGGATTGTGAATGGCACAAACGTAGCATGAACAATGAGAGTTAGCGAGAGTCTAAACCTTCAATTTGTTGCCGTGGCAACCCCTTCATGATGATGACCTTACATCTACTTGCAGGTGTCTATCGCACAGACGCCACTCTACATCTCCATCCAGCCATCACCGGCGATGTCTGTCACACAGGTGGTGAGTCCACCTGCTGGACAGAATGGTAGGTAACACACCCTCCCTCATTCGACACACATTTTAGCGAGCGTAGTGAGCTCTTTAGACTATACTATGCGATCCCAAAAGTGTGCGTATCCGTTTCTGGGCAGGAGGTTCCAGCCTCTAACCTAGGATGTCTAGATTAGCAGATAATATGGGTGAATATGTGTTAGATTAGCCAGATATTCCTAATAATTAATACAAATACTAAACTAATAATACTATTACTACTACTAATAAAAATAAAAATTACCAGGTAATAATAATAATCAAGATTAATAAGTTACAATAATAATAATAATAATATAAATCGCGCATTTTCAATAATAACAAACATCTTTGACCGCGCCACCTATCGTATCTTATATGAGTTAATATATTATGTTTTAACACTTTTTATTATATAAGTCCATAGAAATAAATATAAACATGTATACATCTATTTCCATGCAAAGGTTAGATAATGTACCGACAGGATCAGATGCTCGCCATTAGGCTATGCTTATATTTCATATTGTAACTCGATGGCATCAAGTGATAAGCTCATCGAACCCACAGTGTGCTGCAGTTCAAGGATACACTCAAGCTTTTGCAAGGGTATTGCTCTAATGTAGAGTAAACGTTTATTGACCAATAAATCTAAGCAATCACGCGTTTTACTTATAGATGAGGTGTATCTCTATGCTAAAGCAAAAAAAATTAATCGCTCTGAAAGCTTACATACATTGGTATATGGAGAAATAAGCATGTACAGAGGTGGCATCTGGTGTTAGCCATCGAATAAGACATGAAAAATCGATGGAATTTTTCATTAATCCTTGAGTGTATCCCTAATCTGTGTCCAATAGTGAATGGTCTGGGCCTACGCATGTACAAGCATGTACCATCCTGCTTGCCATCGTGCTATCTGCTGTGTCTCACCACACACACTTGTAATTAATTTTTGCTGACGTTACTGTGTGATTGTGTGCCAGCTATCAAATGTGTAGCCCTGCTACATGTAGTCGAACAAAGAGAATTTTATGGAATTTTATGGAAAATATTTTTACTATATAATTGTTTGCTCATGTCTCGTAATCTTGCAAATGTTTGCATCATAAATTTGATTTGTAGTATGGGTCGTGGTCCAATTACATTTCTGCATTAGAATGCCTGTCAGTAGCACGTTTCCATAGTGGTTTATATTTTATGCGTGCGTGTTCACATCGAAATGCATCTCATTGACTTTGTGTTTTTGCACCGCTTTGTGTTTTCGGTGACATCGTGTACGATCCGCAGGCAAGAGTCTTCCAAAGCTGCAGCCGCGGCCACCCTCTGTTGTGCCCATGGACATCGACATGGCGGCCAGCAATGGCGACATCGCTGCTAACACTAGAATGCTGCAGGTGATCAGTGATCCTGGCATCGCATGCGAGAAAACAGTAGAGATCAAGGTAGTGCCAGGGCCGCTGCCCCTGGGAGGCGCCACCGTCATCGCCAACGAGGGTCTCCTGCAGCAGCAGCAGCGTAAGATCGAGGAGCTGGAGCGGGAGCTGAAGCGCTCCCAGGTGGCGCTGCGTGCACAGCAGATTGCCGTGCTGCGGGCGCAGCAGAGCGGGGCGGGGGCGACGGGACGCGGCGGCGGCGGCGGGGCGGCGCGGGACGGCGGACTTCTCATGCAGAACCTGCAGATGAAGCAGCATCTGCTCTCGCAGCAGCAGCAGCAGCTGCAGGAGCTGCGCACCACACGCCAGCAGATACACCTCGTCGCGCCAAGCGGCCAGCAGGTGGCGCCTCCGTCGCAGGCGCCGGTGATGTGGCCGCAGCGGGTCGTATTGACGGCGACGTCTGCCGGTGAGCCGATGCTTGTGCCAGCGGTGACGACGACGACGACGCGACTGGACAACAAGGCTGCGCTTGTGAGCGCACTGAACGGTGTCGGACACCAGAGGTGAGACGACATGTTACTTATTACGTTATTAATTCATTTTATTAATTCATTATTCATTTGTTTATTATATCGTTAGAGTTTAGACGACTGTTTAGCATAGATACTGGTGAGCTTTTTGCCAGTAAAGAAATACAGTCAAACCTGTGGTTAGGGAGCACCTCTATGGAATTGACACCTGTGTGTAAAGGACAATTTTGCAGATTTTTCCTCGTTAACCCTTATGGACAGGTTTGACTTATTCTAGAGAACTAATTGTTTGCATTGTTGATTGCTGTCGACATAACGTCACGTCATGATTGTAATCAGAGGTCATTGGTTGTGGCCTTGAGTTGAGAGAAACGTTATGGGTGTGCTGTAGGCTGTATTGATCTAAGTGGTGAAGGTGTAACATAAATTGGGGGGGGGGGGTGATAAATGTACGCAGATGATCAACACCACATGTAATTTTAGTGTCAAAAAGCCAATAGCGTCAAAAAGCGTTTTCCGTGAAAGTAACGATTAAAGTAAATTGGTGATTAATTTACGTTTTAATTCGCTATCGAGGAGTCGTGTTTGGACACAGTTTATGATCGCCACGACAACTGTGACTCACACTTAATCTATGTTACGAGTTAAGCGGTTACATCTGGATGAAATTTTATGATTTACATTGAAATTTTCATAGAAAATGACTTTGAATTGCTAGTCATGAAATTGGTCTTTTACTAAGAACAGAATGGACTTACAATTTCCCTTAGGATGCATGGAAATGGCCTATCCGCACTTCCAAATTTCAAAAATTTCCCCCCGCAGTCTGAGGTTCAAAATTAAAGATATTAGCAATAACGCATACACATGTGCTTATTTTTAAGATTCATGCAGTTGCATGTCTGCCAAATTTTCCTTGGACATTAGCTGAAAAAATACAGTAATTCCGCGAGGCCGTGCTCCGGAACTGAACTAGTTAGTATGGCAGAATTTTCAGGGAGTCGCACGGACTCCTGCATATGTCAAATCAGGGAGTCCGAGGGTAAATCAGGGAATATTTGACTCAGGACTCACACCCTGTTAATTTCGCACCCTGGACCCCCCTAGCATTTCCTCCAAAAATATCTCAACTCGTTCTCATGCCTGTATGTTACGAATCAAGCTGTTATACATCTGTTATTACATCTGTTATTAAATCGGTTATTACATCTGGATCCGCTCACGTCTGCCAGCAGGTCTCTGTCATTGCCGCTACCACTAGGTGGCACTCCGGTCAACTCGATATCGGTCGGCATGCCGACGCAGACGACAACTGGTACGGTGAGCGCGAGCGATGAACAGACTGACACGCCCACGCAGCCGCCACCCACGCAGCCGCCACCCAACTACGGCGACGCAGCCAAACAGTTCTTAAAGAATAAACGCGTGAGTTCTGTTCGCTGTTACGCCATTGCTACGGCCATAACCCTGCGTTGCCTTAGTGAGTTAGATACGGACGTGTCTTGCATTCACTGTGTGGCGGGGAAGAAAATCAAGTGATGGCATAGACCTAAGCCTTCTTACCGGAGGCTTATCGAGGTAGAAATGACCGAAGCAAGGGGTTAGCAAGGAACCGTTAATAAGGCAGGATAACTAGATAGAACATTTGTTAGGCTTCGGTTATCATGGTAGAGCATTCATTAGGCAGGTGTTAATAAGGTAGAGCATTCATTAGGCAGGTGTTAATAAGGTAGAGCATTCGCTCCGCTCTCACTGTCTGTTTCTCTCCTCCTCTCTCTCTCTCTCTCTTCTCTCGCACTCGCCTCTCTCTCACTCTCTCTCTCTCTGCTTCTCTCTCTCTCTCTCTCTCTCTCTCTCTCTCTCTCTCTCTCTCTCTCTCTCTCTCTCTCTCTCTGCTCTCTCTCTCTCTCTCTCTCTCGCTCTCTACCTCTCTCTCGCTGCTCTCTCTCGCTCTCTGTCTCTCTCTCTCTTCTCTCTCTCCTCTCTCTCTCTCTCTCCTCTTTCTCTCATACACACACACTCTCTCTCTATCATTCGTCACTCTTCCCTACAGCTGCACCTATTTGAGCACGATGTACTCACTGACATAATGATACGTGATGCTACGGCACAGCCACCATTGAGCATCACTGCACTCGCACGCATTACGCCACCATGATGGCACTCTCATATAATTGTCTCACGGCAGCGACCATACAACGACCAACACGCTCACACCGTGGCAGCGGTTGCCTGATCGAGTGATGGCCGGGTGCCATTGTCACGCCGGTTACATCCCAGCTCGCACCCCACTCATAAACACTCATCTGTGCTCCAACTGTGTTTACAGTAATGTACATGGAGCAAGGCAGTACGGCAACACCGCAGCAACGACACAACGACGTGGACACGCCAGTGGTGGTTGAAAGAGCGCGGCAGAGTGGTCGTCACTTCAGGCGCTTCGCACCCTGACGTGCCGCTCTGCATGGCACCAGGGTGCGCCACCGTCCGCCCACTTTCGTGAGAGGTGCGCCCTCACTTGTACGAATCCCAGACGGGAGTAGGAGTTTAGTTTGCGATGGCAGTAGGAGGCTGCGGCACTATCTGCAGACATGTCACATGCTGAGGAGTGTTATCAGTGTGCTGTCCTCCTTCTCCACTCTCCTCCCTCCATCTTCTCCTCTCCTCTTTTTCACGTTTCGCGTAATCGCACGCCCACGCCGCGCATCACAATAACACGAGCCTCCACAGCTCACGGCCGAATCACTGCAGCCTTCTCACAAGACCAACCTCAGGCCACAATATTTTTATTGTGACCTCACGAATGCATCGCCGCGTATCGCGTCTTCACAGTGAGCGTGGGCAGCTAGGGTCAGGTGG